TCCCAGCTCTTACCCTAATGCCATTTCCTCCCCATATGTCCCTGATGTCTTTAGAGCTGCTGTCCCAGTGCTGGAGCTCTGAGGGAGTGAGTCAGAATACATCCATGTACAGGCCTTTTAAGAGGAACCTCCTGGACCCTGGCCAGTGTTGCTCAGTTGGTCTAATATCATCCCATGCACCAAGACATCTCTAGATTGATTCCTGGTCAGGGCACATGTCCAGGTTGGGGGGCTCGATCCCCAGTAGGGGCCATGCAGGAGGCAGCCAATTGATGTTTCTCATCAATGTTCCTCTCTTCTTCTCCCTTCATCTCTCTCTCTAAAATCAATAAAAACATTTTTTTTTTTAAAAAGAGGAACTACCTGGGACTCCAGTAGCCCTCCATCTCACTCAGCCACAATCCCTGCTGGCTTTTACAGCCAGAAGTTATGGGAATTTCTCTTCTTGGCACTGGAACCCTGAGCTTGGGGACTGGCTTGGGGCTAGTACCTCTGCAGCTGAGATATCCCTCTTAATTTATATCTGCCACACAGGGGTATGGGACCAGCCCATTCCTCATCTCTGCCCCTCCTACCAGTCTCAGTGTGGCTTCTTTAAATACCTAGTTGTCAAACTTTCATTCAGCTAGGTTTCAGGCAGCTCTGAATGATGGTTGTTCTGTAGTTTAGTTATAATTTTGATGTGGTTGTGGGAGGATGCAAGTACTGCATCTACCCGGCCATCTTGACCAGAAGTCTTTATATATATATTTAAATATGTCTTCATTAATTTCAGAGAGAGGAAGGGAGAAAGAGAAACATCAATGATGAGAGAGTCATTGATCGGCTGCCTCCTGCATGCTCCCCACCAGGGATAAAGCCTGCAACCTGGGCATGTGCCGTGACAGGGAATCAAACCTTGATCTCCTCGATCATAGGTCAATGCTCAACCGCTGAGCCATGCCAACTGGGCAAGTCTTTATATTTTTAATATATATTGCCAGATTGCTTTACTGAAAGGTGCATCAGTTTATAGTCCTACTAGCACTATGAGAGTATCATCTACTCTAGATATTATCACACAAAATTGTATCAACGTATGACCATCAATACAAGGTCAGCAAGAAAATATATCAACTGGTAACAACGGTTAACTGTGAAAATAGGACTTCTTTTCATGTATGTTGGTCAAAGGAGTATTTTAATTTTCTAATTTAAAACAGAAATGGATGAAATGACATACTTATTTTAATATGTATGCTTTTTATTTTTAAACCTTTTTTCATATTTATTATATTTCCTTTGTGAAATAGCCACTCATTTCATTTGTCTATTTTTCTTGAGTTGTTAGAACTTTTTAGATATGAACTCTCTTTACCGTATATGTTAGTATTTCCCCCATTTTACTGTTTACTTTTAAAGTTTTATTTTATTTTCTACTTCCAGAAGTTTAAAAAGTATTAGGTAGGCACTTACATTTATCCACATTCACAATTTATTTCTCAGCTTTTATACTTAAAGCTCTTCTCCATTCTGAGGTCGGATATTCATCTGTTTATTTTTTACTTTGTTTTTTGTGTAACTGTATGTGTTTCAGATTTCAATTGAATTCAAGTGTGAAATTATTTTAGTATGGTTTTTGATAAGGAATCTAACCCAAATAGTTAACTGTCCCAACACCACTGTAAAAGTGAGCATTCCTTCCATTTTTTTTTACTTGAAATGCTACCTTTATAAAAGAAATTATTTATGCATTGGTTCTGATTCTAGGCTTTTACTCAGCTTCCCATGGTGTTTTGCGGCAGATTAGTCGTCATCCAGGAAATGACTTGCCCTTAAGTAGTTCTACTCAGATAAAGTAGTTTAATTAAAAGGGGTTTATTGAAGCAACCAATTTGAAAACATAACAGAATTAATTTGTTCTTAGTATTTCATTTAGGAGTGTGATGACTAAACTTTTAAATCTTATTTTTGAGCACTCCTAATAGAATGTGCAGCCGTCACTCCACGGCAAGGCCCAGTTCCCAGGGACATTCGAAAGCACCCCCTACGCGCCAGTCGCCGCGCGTTCATTTCCTTCCCGTCCGAGCTAATTTAAGAAGCCATCTGGGGACGGGTGGGACTGTGGCTCGGTTTGCTGTACCTGTGTGGGGAGGGGTTTGTGAAGGGCTCTGATAACCATTTCTTAATAATACTTACAAGCATGGCTTTCCTTTCTTGCCTTATCCCGAGCGTGCACGGACGGGCTCTGAGAAGTTCCTCCCCCGCCGCCCTGCCGCACTCTCACCCGGGAACGGGTGTGCGAGGTCCCGCAGGAAGGCACGGAAAGAGTGGGCCCAAGAGGATTTAAGTGCATTCCCCGGGCGAGCTCTCCGGCCGCCAGGGGGCAGCAGAGACCTGGGCGCCGCACAACCTGAGGGCGCGTTGGGGAACCGCAGGCGGAGGAAGGGGAGAGGGTGGCTCAGAACGTAGAGATCAGCGACGCGCTTCCAACTTGCTTTACGGCTTTCGGCAGATTGCTTTGCGGTTCTTCTCCCGTTCCGATTTGATTTACAGCCCCTCCTCCTGTCCTTCCTGCGTCCTCCCCCGGATCGCTCTCGACTTAGACCTCCTTCCCAGAGGCCCCTTGCGCTGCCTTCCCAGTCTCCTCTGCGCGACTCTATCTAAACTTCCTTCCCCTCTTCCTTAGCCTAGACCGAGCTCCCTGCGTGCACCGCGCGCTGCCCGAGGCGCGTAAGTTGGGAGGGAGGGCGCGCAGCGGGGTGGTTCTGGCTGGGCCTGTGGGCCGGGGCGGGCCAGGTGTCGAGTAGAGCCCCAGAATGGCTGCGGGCCCCAGCGTAGTCATCCTGAGTCCAGAGGCCTGTAGTAACTCACAGCAGGGGTTCAGGATCACGGCTTCCCGCGCTCGGTTGGACGGGAGTACCGGGGACTTGCACCAACTGTGGCAGCGCAAAGCCCAGGACCCGCCGCGCGAGGAAGGCAGCCCCTT